GCTTGTGCTGTTTGCGGTAAAACCTTCAGCTGCAATACACATCTTAAGAGACACATGACCGTCCACACGGGAGAGAAACCCTTTAGCTGTGAAGCTTGTGGAAAAAGATTTGGACTTGAGTTTACTCTTAAAACGCACATGAGAGTCCACACAGGAGAGAAGCCATTTGGTTGTGAAGACTGTGGAAAAACATTTAGTCGTAACACTCATCTTAAGAATCACATGCGAGTACACACACAGGAGAAACCATTTAGTTGTGATTCTTGTGGAAAGACATTTAAATTTAAGTATAGTTTTAAAGTACACATGAGGGTCCACACAGGCGAGAGACCTTTTGGCTGTAGTGTTTGTGGTAAAGGGTTTACAGAACATGAAGGTCTGAAAAGACACATGAGAATCCACACAGGGGAGAAACCATTTGGTTGTGATATATGTGGGAAAAGATTTGGACACCAGAATGCTCTTAAAAGACACACCAGCGTCCACACAGGTGAGAAACCGTTTGGATGCGATATATGTGGAAAACGATTTAACCGCAGCACACGATTTAAGGAGCACTTAAGAGGCCACACGGGAGAGAAACTGTTCGGCTGTGACGAGTGTGGGAAAACATTTAGTTCCAATACACGACTTAAGAGACACATGAGCATCCACAGGAGAGACAAACAGTTTTTGTGTGGCATTTGTGGTGAAAAATGTTCAACATCTGAACAGCTGAAGCAGCATGAAAGTTCGCACATGTTACTGCAGATAGATACTGTAACACTATAGGTTGTGTTGTGAAGTGTATTTGTATTATTAACAAGCTTTACTTTTCCGCCCTCATGTTTGTCTTCATTGTACTTAAAAAATAAACCAAAAAATATCCATGAATACAAAATTTGTGGTTTTGTCCTTGCCTATATAAATAATATATATATGTTTCCATACAAATATATAAAATATATGGGAACATATATGTAGAAAACTGAAGCTATCTCAAGTATGAAATAATCTTTTTTTAAAACTGGGCAATAAATCTTTGTAACTATATTAAGTTACCCTTTTTACTGTTTTAACACGTTTTTGCTTTTATAGTAAAGTCATTCATCATTAGATGAATTATGATTTTTAATATCAATGAAACTTTAAACAGCTTCAAAATTATAAGAAATTATATAAAAAAAGAAACCTGTTGAACGTTAGAAGTTACGCACTTTTTTGCCTCCCATAAAAAGTGTTTTGTAATTTAAAAACTGTTTCTAAACACAACTTAATCAGTGAGACTGTAAAAATAATCTGAGCGCGTTTTAAGCTATGAGCACACGTGTTGCCAAATCCAACGCTCTCACTGGTCGGATCTATTTATTCACATGCAAAAAAATGAGCCTAATTCCAAAAAAATAAAATGGTGCAAATTTGTCCAGTGAAATTACACGATTGTTGTGAGCAGGAGCATTACAAATCGGTGAGCCTCAAAAAACGTTTAAACCACAGCCAACAGGCTCGCAGTGGTTGGCCCCTCTTGCCCCAGTGTAGAGCCAGCCCCACCTACCATACACCCAGGGGCGGTCCTAACCTGTTTGGTGCCCTGGGCGACCAGTCCCTCTGTCCCACTGTTTACTATCATAGCCAAGTGGCTAACAAAGGTAAACAGAAGTTTTCCCAATCTCTACTAATGAATGTTATCTTGTTTCAGGATACATACTAAAATCCTTTATTTCTCAAAAATCGACAGCGCGCCTTATGTATAAATTCTGGTTGTGCTTACTGGCCGCGAACCAATTTTATGTGGTACACAGCGCTCAGAAACCTTTCAAAAAATATTTTGGTACGACTTTGGTAAACTACGAAACTGCACTGCTTGATGGATTGTTGGATCATTACGGCTACCGAGAAGCCTCGCGGAGTGATACGTACTCTGCTTCAACGTAATATTACCGTACTGTGTGTGTATAAGGACCACAAATGACACCTGTTAAGAGACACGGTTACAAAGAGGATTTCAAACTCCAGGCTGTCAGTCACGCAGTAGAACTTGGGAACAGAGCAGCTGCGAAATCTGTCTTTGTTATTGTGCTCAGCGTCTGTTAGTTTACATTTTGACTGCACAATTGTGAGCTTTTTGTTATGCACAAAAACAACATTGTTTTATTTTATTTATGGAGCATGATTATTTAATAAATGCTGATAATTTATTTCTGAGTAATTTTTTCTTGTACATCTGCGCTGTATGTTAATAAAAGTGCTTATGTGAGATTTGGGACACAGCTTTGACTAAGAGCTCTCTTTTTGTTCTTACTTTATGGCTTTAAAAAATATCAAGATGTCTATATATCGTCAACCAGCTAAAGAATATCGAGATATGAATTTTGGGTCATATCGCCCAGTCCTAGTATAGGGTCTCTGCCTTCCAATGTAAAGCGCCTCTGGACAACAGATGTGATTTGTTGCTATAGTTACTGTTAAATTTAATCATTGATGTCCATTCAGGACTGGAAGTTTTATATTTCTTAATATCCATCTATACTCAATGTGAATTCCATACGTTTAACAGAGCTGTTTGACTGATCACCTAATGTGTGACAAAAGAATCCGCTGTGATGCTATTGACAGTCTGCGCTCTCTCACCTGTCTGTAAAAGTTGGCCTTGTCTCTCTCACTCGTTGTGACACCTCTCTCCTCTGTTGCAGAACTTCCAGCCCGTGCTCTCCCTGTGTTCTGTGTGCCCGACCGTTTCTCCGTCCCCTGGTTTCCCACGGCACCTGTGCAGAGTTTCTGTTTATCACCTTGCTCTTGTTTAAGTTGTCTCCTCTCATTAATAAATCTTGTAAATAATTGACAACCAGCATAGTAGGCGCTCCTCCAACGTATCAAAATATAGTTTATTTTGGGGCGATCGTGGCTCAAGAGTTGGGAGTTCGCCTTGTAATCGGAAGGTTGCCGGTTCGAGCCCCGGCTTGGACAGTCTCGGTCGTTGTGTCCTGGTCACAGGTGGTCAGAGGGCCCGGTGGCGCCAGTGTCCGGCAGCCTCGCCTCTGTCAGTGCTCCCCAGGGTGGCTGTGGCTACACTGTAGCTGCCATCACCAGTGTGTGAATGGGTGAATGACTGGATGTGTAAAGCGCCTTGAGGTCCTTAGGGACTAGAAAAGCGCTATATAAATACAGGCCATTTACCATTTATTCTCCCTCTGACAGTTAAAACCATACACATTGTCTAAAATATAGATAGAGTGTGCAGCCTCAACTATTAGAAAAATGTAATGACCATCTTTATCTATGTCAGAATTCAAAATTATACCATTAAATCTTCCAAAATCTGAGTTGAACTGTTTGCAAAACAAAAAAATAGCCTTATGTTTAACACTGTTTCTTAAACCTCTTACATTTAAAGAAATAACAGACAGAGAAATAAGGATAGTAACGAAAATTAAAAGTGACAAATAAGAAAAAGCTTACACCAAGTATATGAAGAAAAGTTGAAATGGGAACCTGGTCACTTAACCCTTTAAAGCCAGTCAGAGCGGGCACGCTCCGTTTTGCTTAACTATTTTTAAATCCCGGTAGCACTGCAACCACGTAAGCTAGTGCAATATTTTTCTTTTGCATATGAAACCGGAGGGGTTGTACTTACATCTTATGCCATCAGCTTGTCCTCGATCACAGTTTCCTTCCACATAAAGCTTTGCAAAAATGTCATAAAAACCACTTGCAGCAACAAAAACATAATATCCCAGAAACACGCTTTACCCATCCGATCAGCTGTTTGTAACACTTCCTACGTCCATCAGCGCAAACTATCGCATGTCCGCCATGACCTGCCCGAAACCGGAAGTGACGTATTTTGCGGAAATGTAGTTTTTTTTTTACCACCAGGACCTTATGAGCCTATACTTGTGTTTTTAAAAGTTATGTTTGACTTTATGACTTTCTGTGTCGTTTCTGGGACGCTTAGGACTGATATTGCACTGCTGGAAATAGTTTACTTTGATGCATATGCTGGTTTTTTTTTTTGGAAATCTGCATTATAATATTTATTTTCGTTTTTCCTGCAGTATATAAAAAATAAAACTATGAAGACACTTAAAATAAATTTCCTGTGGCAGGAAACTATTTTGTGCAACTTTTTTGTATTTACAGTTTTGAGGGATACGCCTCTTAAATTTCTCTAACTAGAAATATATGTAAAAAACAAAAAAACAAAAACAATTTTAAATGTTTTTGTAGTTTATTGCACTTTTTTGCAATTTATGTAATTACTATGCACTTAATGCATACATATCATTAAAATTTGGGCTATAATGGTTGTATTGATGTATATCAACTTGAAATGCTCCCAAAAATGGCTCTACAGCATGTAAAAATATAATATAAGCTCTGGCGGACTTGGTTCTATGGTAGGTCTTAAAGGGTTAAGAGAGTTCTATATAAGATGAGAACTGCAACCCCTGAGTAAGGAAATTGTGAACTTGAATAATAATAGGAATACAATAGTCTAAGAAAATAGAACCAATGTGGTAAAAAAAAAAATTAAATTAAATTAAATGCTTCTAAAAGCATTTAAAGGGAGCTTTTAGAAGTTTTCTTGCTCCATTTAAATGTCAAAAGGGAGTTTTTCCTTCAACATTAACGCCGTCATCACGATTAGTTCAATTTTTAAGAAATTAAAGAAATATCAACAGAGCACCTATTTATAAAGACTTAAAGTTTCATTTTTAAAACTAATTGGCCCCTTTCTGTCCTGTTTTCTGCATTATAAGCCTTATAATAATAATATTAATAATTATTATTATTGTTGTTGTTATTATGAGTATGATTATTATTATTATATACACTGTTTCTTATATTTTGTTATCATTCATATGTTCTTGTCTATAATTTCTGCATGAAAAATAATTAAATGTTTAAAAATACATTTTAAAAGTGTCTGTTACGTTTTTTTCCTATTAAAAAAAAAGGTGCCTCCGCAAATGCCTGCCCAAAACACCCCAATAAATCCATTTCACAACAACACTGAAAAATGGGAGCCCTGTCCAACTATTGATGAGGTCGTATAGAAGTGTGAATACACGGCCATCGATCTTCTGACCGAGTCGCCTGGTTCAATTCAAACGAGCTTACAGTTGATTTTAAAGACGAGAACAATGAATGAAGCGGATTATCGTCAACGCAACGGCATCGAGAGTCAGCCTTATGAACGAAAGCCGCAGATCAAACCGCATCAGCTGCAGGATGCTGATCTCAACCAAACTACCGGTGAGAAAATCACAGATTTAACGTGAGATGTTTCTCCGGAAGGAAACGGCTTCCTAGCTGCTAGCTCGTTGTACTGGTGGGCGAAATAAACTTTTCACCTACAAACCGGCCTTTTTAAATGATGTAAATCTGCCACAAATCGATGTTAAAACGGCTTAAAAACGGCGGAACCCATCGGTGTTCCTGTGTAGTACCCGGGCGTTTTAGACGGGGCACACAACAACAGCGTTAATATTGTAGTTCAGCGTAAGTAAATGGGCGAAATTTGATTCAAGGTGTTTTAATGTCCAATATTTTTACTCATCTTAATAAATATAGATTGTAGTGAGCTGGCTTTATGTAGGATAAAGCCATCTCACTTATATAGCCATCCATCCATTGGCTTCCGCTTATCCTTTTCAGGGTTGCGGGGGGGGGGGGGGTGCTGGAGCCTATCCCAGCTGTAATAGGGCGAGAGGCGGGGTACACCCTGGACAGGTCGCCAGTCTGTCGCAGGGCTAACACACAGGGACAGACAACCATTCGCACTCACACCTATGCACTTTATTTGCTTAAACTGCCCTTTCCTGTTCTTAATAAACACCTATCACTGTACCTACATTGTAATCAATTTAGTGCTTTTTGGCCACTTAAATTATCTTTAAACTGTTTGGTTGTATTTGGTGAAATTTCTGCTTTCCTTTTGGTCAGGTTGCTCCTGAAAACACAAAAAACATAATAAGAAATCATAATAAAAAGTAAAATAGAAAGTCACCTTGGTAACAACTGATTCCAGTTTGTCCCTTCTGGCTCAAAATGACTTGGTATTATTCACCCCAACAAGTCATTTGTTGCAACAGTGCCTCCTATTAAAAGCAGTAAGAGCAGCAAAAAGGTGGAAGATGAAAAAGGGATCTTTATTTTAAACAAAAGAAACAACAAGCTCTTAAGATGAATTTAGATTTTTTTTACTGACATTAGCTGGTGATAAGTTAGCAGATAGAGGTTTTTTTGTTGACCTCTATTTATTGTAATTGTTTCAAGGGCTTGTTTTGTTTTTGTTACTGTTTGCGGTGTTTTTTAATAACCTGTCTCATACAATAGTCATTATTCTAACCCTTTTTATTCACATTTTAATGACAGATTATTCTTGTTTTTATCTGTTATTTTTTTATCTGTGTTTTATAAGGTTATTGTGTTGTGATATTTGTAAAATAAGTGCTTTCCAGGTGATGTCTCTGTGTGTTTCAGAGTTTCATGCTGATGTCCAACAGCTGTTGGTGATTAAAGAAGAGGTTCCCCCAGAATGGAGCCCCTCTGATGACCAGTGGTCCCAAGAGCCCCTGCGCATAAAGGAGGAGCGTGAGGAACTGTGCACCACTCAAACAGCAGAACACTTTAAAGGGCTGGAGGATGCTGATACCAGCAGGCTCCCGTTCACTGCTGCTCCTGTGAAGAGTGAAGATGGTGAAGAGAAACCAAATTCTTCAGAGCTTTACTGTCATCAAACAAGTAAACAAATAAAAACTGAGACTGATGGAGATGACTGTGGAGGACCAGAATCAGCCAGAAACCTTGATACAAAAAGTACTTTACAACCTAATGAAGTGGAAAATGATTCGGACTCCTCTGAGACTGAACTCAGTAACGATGGTGATGAATGGCAGGGACCTTTGTCAGATTTTAGACCTGGAACTGAAGACAGTGACAAGGACTGGGAGGCAAGCAGGTCACCTGAGTCAGGTGTAAATTGTCACGTGAGATGTGACACTACCAAAAAACCCTTTAGCTGCTCTGAGTGTGGAAAATGTTTTCTCCACAGGCAGTCTCTCCACAGACACATGAGAATCCACACTGGAGAGAAACCTTTTTGTTGTGCTGTTTGTGGCGAGAAATTTAGCAGGAAGACACATTTTAAGACGCACATGAGAGTTCACACAGGCGAAAAACCCTTTGATTGTGGTTTTTGTGGTAAAAGGTTCAGCCAGAAGTCAAATTTTAAGGAACACTTACGAGTCCACACAGGAGAGACTCCATTTGGCTGTGATGCTTGTGGGAAAAGATTTAGAGTTAATTTTACTCTTAAAAGACACATGCGAGTCCACACAGGAGAAAAACCGTTTGTTTGTGTTGACTGTGGCAAGACTTTCAGTTCCAATACGCACCTTAAGACACACACGAGAGTCCACACGGGAGAGAAACCATTTAGCTGTGGTGTTTGCGGCGAGAGATTTGCACAGCAAGGGGTTCTGAAGAGTCACACACGAGTTCACACAGGAGAGAAGCCTTTCGGTTGTGGTCTGTGTGGAAAGAGATTTAGACAGCAGAATACTCTCAAGAGACACATGAGCGTCCACACGGGAGAGAAGCCGTTCTCCTGTGGCGTCTGCGGCGAAAGATATACCAGACAGGGAAGTTTGAAGAGACACATGAGTGTACACACAACTGCAGCTTCAACAACTGAATCACATGCCTGTCATTTTGTGCCTGAACATCTCGAACCTTTTGGGTTATAGACACTTGACTTCTGTAGCTGTTTTCTGGCCTTTGATGGACCGGGCGCCTTTCAGTCTGTCTCACTGATTTTTGATCGGATGTATAAACACTACATGACAATCTGTCTGCTGGCTGTGCTAAATATGAAGTACTAATTTTACTGAACAGTAATCTAAAGTTTTTATTACACACTTCTCATTACTAATGCATTATAAAGTAATACTGCACAAAACCTTAAAAAAAAAAAAAGGACATGCAGAAATGATTATTTTTAGTAGATATTTTGAAGTATTTGCCCAAAACAACGAAAAGTAGGTGACTGACAGCCTGTAGAGCAGCGTTCCCCAACCCCCGGGCCTCGGACCGGGGGTTGGGGACCGCTGCTGTAGAGCACTTCACAGATGATGTTCTTGTGACTAGTATTTCTGATTTGTAGTTTGCTCTTCATGTGTAAAATATGCTGCTCTGTTGCCAGTAGACCTGTCTGTCTGTGCCTGGTGATATGCTGCAAACACTGCCCTCTATATGTAAAAGTCCTCGTAGCTAGACTGGGCTGACTTATTGATCCTGATTGCAAATGTTAGTTAAATAAATCCTGAATATGCTGAGTTTTTTTCCTCATAGTGCAGGCCTCTGGAATTTCAGTCTTGTTGCTTCCTTCACAATTAACTGTATTAAAGATGGAATAAAAACTGTTTCTTCCAGCTGCTTCCTTATTTGCAGATTACCACACATTAAATTTTTTACACTAATAATAGCTGAACAATGTTTTTGGGTTTGTTTGTGGTTATAGAGCATTAGCAGTATGAATAAGGACTTTTGTTTTTGAATTTGGATGATTTTTCATTGCACTTAAATGAGCATGCTGGTTGTCTGACAGTGAATAGAAAATACAATATGTATTTTCTATTTCTCTATTTTGCAGTTTATTTGCTTAAACTGTCCTCCACCCATGAGGTGTGTTTGTAATAAAGCCTGAAATTAAAGTTTAGTGAAATGCACGTCTATTACCAGGTCAAAAGGGGTCACCATCAGCCCCAATAACAGTCCAGGAAAGGCGATAGAGTCCAAAGAAGACAGAAACTGTGAATCTACAAATATGAACATCTAGATGTCTGAAACTGTACATATACAGTATTTTTCAAATAACATTGTTCTTGCAAATATAAGAGAAGATGTTAAAATGGCTGGCTTTAAAGAATAATTCTGGTTGGATTTTGAATGTTATTAATTGTTATTTTTGTTTGTATAACAACAAACACATCTCTTCTTTCTGTTTACATTAATACTCATGTAAAACACCTACAGTGAATCTAGATATTGCCACACAAAGATTCAATGAAAAAGATGAGAACTTGGCAGTGTGACATTACAGGGTGTGGTGGCTGACCACGTAACACGTTGCCAACACACTTCTGACTAATAACTAATAATAGCAGACCTCCTCTGGCAGGAAAAACATCAGCAATGATCCTGGAGAATTTAGCTGTTGCTGTCCATCAAGCAAAGGTTATGAGGTCATTTCCAAATAAGGCTGTCATTGTACAATTAAAAATATTATTCTCTTATTCATAAGTGAAAAATATTCAAGGTAAATGTTAATGTTCGCAGCAGTTTCATCCCAAGTGCAGTGCTCAGAGAACAAAAACCCAGAGCTCCATTCAGACTCTACAAGCCTCAGCATGTTAAATCTTCACACTGAACATAGTTGGTTTGGAAGTGTTGCCAGCAGAACATCTCAGCTGTCTGAAAAGAACATGTCAACATGGCTTAGGCATGCAATGCTGCATCTGAACAAACAACAAGTGGAGATGTTTGCGTATAATGCAGTGTGATATTAGGTGAAAACCAGATATATCAGTACTAACACCTCATACCAACTGTCAGCTCACCGCGATGGGTGGGACAAGATTTCGGCTTGGACACCTTCCAGTCACTGAGTCAACCACAAACTCTATCCGGAAGTATTCCAGATTCAACTATGAGGACATCAGTCCAACAGCTAAAACTAAATGGTAAAGTCTGCTTCTCATGTAGCACTTTTCTACTCCAGCTGAGCACTGAACTAACCCCCGACCTGATGAGTAGTAGGTGACCTGCTCTACCTCCTGAGCCACAGCCACCCCCCAAAAGGAGACTGCTTGGTGAAAACTTTACGGTGGCCCTGAGAGGCCAAACGGACTGCAACTTCAGAAAACACTTGCAAAAAGAAAAACGCTGCAAAAAGAAAAATGCTCCAAAAGCACACAAAACACAACGGAAATAGAAAAAAACACAATGGAAATGTTTCTGGGGAGACAATAACCCGACGGACCAGTTGCACCAAAACATGTATGTATATTCCAGATATCTGTATTAGAATCATATGATTACTACACATTTACCTCTCCTCCACTTCTTTAAAGTGACTCCCAGTCCCAGCGCACTTGTTAGCATGTTTTGGTTCGTGCAACTGGTCCGTCGGGTTGTCTCCCCAGAAACATTTCCATTGTGTTTTTTCCTATTTCCGTTGTGTTTTGTGTGCTTTTGCAGCGTTTTTCTTTTTGCAGCGTTTTTCCTTTTGCAAGTGTTTTCTGACGTTGCAGTCCGTTTGGCCTCTCAGGGCCACCGTAAAAATTTCCACAAATCCAAATATTTCTTCCCTGCTCTGAAGACCGCTGTAATTATAGACACCAGTTCTACAAACCAAGTGCAGCTTTTATTCTGCTGAAGGCAGGATTTATCCATGTATTCATGTTTACACTAATTTCCGACCCTATCGTCTGAATCTTGCAGCAGAGTTGAGACTCATCAGTGTTTCCCAGTCTTCAGTTTCCTGTTGTTAGCTCACAGGAGTGGCTCCCAATGTGGTCAAGGTTTAATGTGTTGTGCATTCAGAGATCTTCTTCAGAAAACGGTGGTTGTAACAAGTTTTTTTTATTTATGTATCTGCTGACTTCCTATCAGCTCAAAGCAGTCTGGTGCTTCTCCTCTGATCTCTAACACCTACAAACATTTACAAACAACCACATTCAAAGTCACTTAAATCCCCTCCCCCAGCCTGATGCATCAACCTGAACTTCAGCAGGTCGTTTTGCCCATGTCAGCATGCCTAAATGGAACGAGCCGGTGCAATGTTGATTATTAGATTATTGATCTGGCTGATTATTAGATATTTGTGTTTCAGAGCAGTTGAACAAGTGTGCCTAATAAATTGGCCTGTGAGTATATATGTGCCCCTTTGAATAGAATAGAATAGAATAGAATAGAATAGAATACTTTTTATTTGTCAATTTCTTCAAATGTACTTGTACTTTGTTGTTCTCCTTTGAAGGACGCAGAGTATAAACGTGTCTGAAGGTCCGATCCACACTCCAGACCAGTTAGTGGTGGTAATGCATCGGTTCCTTGTTTGCACACCACCAGTAAAAATCATAGATGGGGTGAAGGTGTCTGCGCAGGTGCCTGCTTAAAACACAGAAGACCTCTGTTTTGGTGATTCGTGGTGATCGATTCTGCGCTTGCCTGGTTCATCTTTAAGGAGCCTGCAGCTTATTTAAGGAAGAAAACAAGGGTGTTTTATCCCCACTGTGTGTAAACACGGTCTGTGTAAACAGTACCTAAGTATCAAAGTTGGAAATATAAAGGTAAAAAATCTACACTGTCTACAATAAAATGTGGGTCACGTTGAGATTAGTTGCTCATCGGTGCCAAAAACATAGTCAAGAGGATTTATGCAGGGGTTATAAAAATACTAATAATTTAAAAATGACCTGTTCTGCATACATCATAATTCACTCTTTTTTAGCTACTTAAAATCTCACTGTAGAACTATTTTGCCCTTGAAAGAGAATTTCTTAAAAATATTAACTGGAAAAAAAATTTTTTTTTAAATGTAAAGGTCACATTGCCAAAAACTGATTGCAGCTTCTTTTTGACTCAAAATGATTTGATACCATTTGTGAGAGATCTGTTTGACAGATGATAAGCCAACAAGTCACAACAGCTTTAATCCTACAGGCTGGGACGGCACTTCCTCTTTTTTCTTTGATAAAGGATGCTGCAATGTATGCTCTGCTATAGGAGGTAATAAGGAAGTAATAAACTAAAGAATTGAGAGAATCCATCCGGGTCTTGACCTTGAAATATAATATTATAATTTAAACATCAAAATGTGAAATTACTCGAGTGCAAGGCAGTTTGCTGATATGTTGTTTTCCTTGTCATTGTATTTATATTTGCTGATTAAGATACACTTCTGGGGCCTATACTACAAAACACCCTGAGTTTACCCAGGATATCTTTTCCTTATCTGGCCTGCAGACAGACTAAGAGGTCATACAAAAGCGGTTATCAGCTTGATAAGTAAGCACAGGGTTTCTTAATCTCGCTGAGTAGGTAAAAGAGGTAGAGTTGCTGCTTTTGACCAATCAGAAACCTGAATCTAGTTTTTTTTTTAGAAAGTAAATAGAATGATAATATTAGATGTATTAGACGCACGTGTTTTGTCATTTGTGTTTTAATTATTAGTAAAGTGTGAAAAGAAAATCACTTTCCAGTAATAAAAGAAGTTATATGAAGTGAATTTGTCATTAGGACAAAATAGAGATTTTTTTTAAAGGCAAGAAAAAATACAGCGTGTGTAATTTAACAAACGTGTCACTAAACGTGTTTTAGGAGCATGAAAAAAAAAAGCTGGAATAAAGAAGCTCTTAAGAGTCGTTGTCAGAGGAAGACGAAGACTTCAGATGCTCTTCAAAAAATCTTTAGAGATAACATAATATATTGGCTCTTTTAACCAAAGTTACAGTCCATAATGTGCATGTGTGTTTCATCGGTGCCTGCAGATGTTCAGCAGCTGCTGGTGATTAAAGAAGAGGTTCCATGGAGCCCGAGTCTGGACCAGCAGGAAGCAGAGCATCTCTACATAAAGGAGGAACAGCGGAAACTCTGCAGAAGTCAGGAGGGAGATTTGGAGGAGACCAATATCACCAACTTCCTTGTAAAGAGTGAAGATGATGAATAGAAATTTATGTCCTTGGAGCTTCAGCCAAGCCAAACTGAACACATCTCAGAGGCTGAAGCTCCAAACAGCAACTCAGCCAAAGGGAGGAATCCAGAAGAGGATGGAGGTATACAGCTGTCAGATGCTAAGTTACACACTGTGGAGAAACCATTTGGTTGTGACAGCTGTGGTAAAGCATTTAGTTGCAATATGCATCTCATAAGGCACATGAGAGTCCACACAGGAGAGAGACCTTTTGTTTGTGACGTTTGTGGCAAAATATTTACACAACAGGTGGTTCTGAAGAGACACACGATAGTTCACACGGGAGAGAAACCGTTTGGTTGTGACATTTGTGGCAAAACATTTAGACATCAGAATACTCTTAAGAGACACACGAGTGTCCACACGGGAGAGAAACCATTCGAGTGTTCTTTTTGTGGTCAAAAGTTTAGCCAAAAGACTCATCGCAAACAACACGTTAGAGTTCACACAGGAGAGAAACCATTTGGCTGTAACGACTGCGGTAAAATGTTTCGTCGCAATGCGCATCTCAAGAGGCACACGAGCGTCCACACCGGAGAGAAACCATTTAGCTGTGGAGTTTGTAGCGAAAGATTCACCAGACAGGGAAGTCTGAAAAGACATATGAGGGTCCATACGTGATAGAATTTTGTTTGTTTATTTGTTTTTTAACAATAACATAGTATTTTTATACCTTTTTATTATATTTTTTTTAATCTGTTGCTTCATTTCGTCTATATTTGTTACAAATTCAGAAATACAATGAGAGCCGGATTAGGTGTCAATGAATAGAACCACCTTAGAGTGTAAAAGGTGAAACTTCATCATCAAGGGTCAGACTTTTCTCGCCGGGATCAGCATTTAGGAACAGCTTTTTTGAAATACTGTGCTTTAAAAAAAACTAAGTTGGAGTTATTTGGCAACTGGAGTAATAAACATGTTGACACACACACAAGACAGCTTTTCAGGAGAACCACCTCATACCACCTGTGAAGCACAGCGGTGGAAATTTTATGATTCAGGGTCATCATCACTGTACGTGTTCAGAGGATGTGATTTCATCCAAGTTAGTTAAACAGGAGTTTAATGATGGTCCTGATCAAACTATTAAACCCCACAGGTGATGCTTTAAAAATGCAGAAATTGTGGATTCAAAGCAGTTTTGTATAAGAGAGTGGTAAAATGCTTTTTTGCAGGCTGATGTAAGAGGATTGTGGATAACTATGCTAACAGCAACAAGAAAGAAATTGCTTCTTTTAAAACTACTGTCTGAGAATAATTATGTCCTTATTTTTGCACAAACTGCTGTTTTATGGCTGAATAAATGACCAGAAAAGCTGGTTGTGGTGTTGCACTGTTTGTCTGTAACAACAGCGTGCAGTGATTCATTGACATGTGTCAAGAGACATGAAAATGCAGTTTATAAGCAAGAACAGAGTTTGTACAATTCTAAAAAGCTTGAAAGTTGATATTTGGTGTGATGATGGGTGTCTTTGTTCTTCAGCACACTCTGAACTCTCTGAGGAAGCTTCCTGTTATTTTTAAGTAGTCTTCAGGAATCGTTCTCCAGCCTTTGCTGGAATATTTTATGCTTATCAGTAGGGATGGGTATCGTTTAGGTTTTATCCGATACCGGTGCCAAATCGGTACTTTTGAAACGGTGCCGGTGCTCAAACGGTGCTCAAACCGGTGCTTAAAGAATGGAGAACACAAAATTGGTCCAAAAACCTCTCATGTTCAGCTGTTTTTTGTAAAAATATAACAATGTTAGCCTTTTCTGCAGCTATGGGGCATATATGGTATCACTCTTGGCTGGAAGCAGTGCTTAAACAATGGAAAAAACACAAACTTTGTCCTAAACCTCTCATGTTTAGCTGTTTTCCACTTTTTCTTTGGTCATTTTAGCCTTTTTAGCCAGGGTGAAGGGAGTATCTGCCATCAAACAAGAGGACAGCCGCATGTAGCTATGATGATGTTTGCTAGTTCACCTTACATGCATTAATGTAATAACGTGGTTAGCCTACTCAACGTAAATTAGCTACTCACGCAGAGAAGAACGGCTGCTGCCATCATCATCCGTCATCATTTCTGCTACACTGGCAGGGTTAGGGGCCAGGACTCTCCTCTTCGTGTTTTTGGGGGATGTTGCATAACAGGCAACCCACCCGCAGTAGATGTGCTCGGTGTGAGGTCTCGCAGCAAGCTATCAAATACGACGCATTTCTGGGCTTTTAAAAAAACGCTATGCGTCGCCAGGTGTTTCATCGGATTTGAGGTGTTACCTCCTTTGACAGTATCACAGTATCAGCTTAAAGCACTTGTTGCAGGCTGCTGAGTTTGCATCTTCTGCTGTGAAGTACAGCCAGACTTTTGACCGCTTCGCCTTGGACATTTTTAATCTGTAGCTCTGCTCTAACAGAACGTACGTACCTGGCCCCGCCTACTATCCTCGGAAACGTTAAATGATTGGCTAGAAGTGTATCACAGCTCAGGAAAATAAAGCACCGAAATGTGCGCTGCTTTTCGGTCTGGTTACTACCGTTTATGTCAGAACCGGTGCCATCATGGCACCGGACACCGGTACCCATCCCTACTTATCAGTCTGTTTTTTCTTTGGTGGGGTTTTGACAGGTTGCTAATAACAAAGTACCTGAAAATACTATTTAAAAGCACTTCTGTTTTACTGGAGCACTCCAAGCACTTTATAAGTTGTCTTTTTATGCTTGAATGACTCATAGGCCAGTGTTAAGGGGCTTAACAAACAAAAAAGGAAAAGCATTTTTAAAAAATTGTCAAGTACAAGGACTGGACTGTCCAAAGGAAAGCTTTCAAAACCTGGAGAAGTATTGCCCAAGAGCTCAAGAGCACTTTTTTTAATTCACAGAAAGTTAAACTCATTGGAAACAAAATAAAAAGACATGAAAGTGGCTCAAGACTTTTGCACACTATTAAATGTTTTTAGTATGATTATTATGTATATTGACTGTGCATATACTTTGTTTTGAGCATGTTAAGTTAGTGATGGCGTGATGAATGTTCCGAGTCTTGAAGGCGCAGCGACTTACAAAAATGGATGTGATTGTACTTCTCTGAAAGCTCGTATGTTGTTCTCCATATAATCAAAACTGCTGAACACATAATCTGGTCAACAGCAGAGTTTTGAGTTTAAAACCACCAAATTTTCACTGATTATTTTACCAATCATGCTGTGATTCTCTGCTGAAGTAATTCTTTTACATACTCAAACTGTAAAGCTGATTCTCAGTAATACCAACAAAAGAATATGTGCAGTGAATGTGGCACGCATATAACAAAGTTTCTATGTTTGGTCCTGATTTGCAGATTAGAAAACTGATCATTATTATTGAGTATTTATTGCAAAAAATATAAATGAAATGAATTTCCCTTTGACCTTAAACTGAACCTCTTTGCACACTGCCTTCATCAAATTATGGATAAGTCATTTAGGTTAAACTACTGTGTCTTCATCAATTAGGAGCCATGCAGGCAAAGGTATATATTGTGTCCCACCCCAGTTTGCAGCTGGGATAGAGTGTGATTAATGTGGGAGCACACAGGCGTAGGTGCTCAAAAGTAGATCTCGCAAAACAAACTAGGGATCTCACAAAACTTTTGCGAGATCTCACAAAACAAACTCGGGATCTCGCAAAACTAACTGGGGATCTCGCAAAAGTTTTGCGAGATCTCACAAAACAAACTCGGGGTTTTGCGAGATCCCGAGTTGTAGTAGGTCTGTAGTAGGTCTCGACCTCCCGTTAGCTTCGAGATGGTGGGTGTCAGATCTCCGAAAACGTCAGAGCACTTTTGCAAATATGTGATGTCTTGTAAACCAAGCAGATCTCGCAAAAGTCCGTCTTAATTTTTTTTTTCTCCCATGTACCCTGCGGGGCTCCGTATGATTGGGACCTGATGAATGTAAAAGCAAAGTTTTTTTTTTTACCTAATTTTTGTTTCTAAGAAAAATCAGAGCCACATATGAGGATATTCGTTTAAAATTTCGATAGAACAGTAGCAGTATAATGTCCTCGTAAGTGGGTATCAGGCCCTTGTAGAGCAAAATTGAGTATTTTGGTCTAAATAACCCAAAATGTGATTACCTCATATGTGGACGCCAGGTCCTAGGTTAACTCTTCTTTTGATAGTCATTTGTATAGTTTTCCTTCCTCTTAATCATTAGCTTAATTAATGTAAGCTGTTCCTTGGATTCCCTTCACTGGACACGAATAGCCTGTTTCCTTTCGAGCATTTATAGTTTGAATTTTTGACCTAACTAAACTTTAGCTTTAGTTAGGTCAAAAGCTTCTTTTTGCCCACCCGTCCCATGTGGAACATGTATTCATCTTTATGTGTGGTTTTATAACTTTTAAGTGCTTTGCAAATATTTGATATTATTACATCCAATGAAGGTTATATGACTTGACCTCACATGCTGATAAACTTGTTAAAACAACATCCGGGTAGCGTTGGAAAATGTTAACAAGCTCCTCCAGTCTCTAGGCTACAGGATTTTGAGTTCTGCCAATATTTTGCACTTACCTTTAAGATCTAACTAGTCCTAATGACAGCTTTAATTAAAAAAACAAAAACAATCCAGCTGTTTTGTTGAGGACAGTCTCACCAAAACACTGAAGAAGAAGAATCATATGCTGTTACTGTAACAAAAAGGTAAGTCTGAGAACATTCTGATGCGTTACAGGAACACACCTTTAATAAAACACTTTGAGAGACAACATGCAAATACAGCAGTACATGTAGTAGTGTTCTCGTCAACAGGCAGCTGAATCTGAAAGTCATTTACATTACAGGACATACATTTTACAAACAGGATTGGCTGAAATGTATATTATATTACAAAGTAGTATTTTTCAGTGAACCTGCCAGTAGCACATAGTAAAAGAAAAAAAAACATTCATTTAGTGATGCTACATGGGAACTAGGGTTGGGCGATATGTAAAAATTTTCCAACCGGCAATCGTCAGTCCAACAATCGCCGATGGGCCATATATTCGTGCGTGCGCAGACGTCTTGATGGGCGGGGCCATGTAATCATGCACGTTTACACCACAGAAGAAGTTCAAACATGGATGAACTAATTTCCAAAAAAACAAAGCAAAAAACCGCTGTCAGCGTTAACACGGCTTAAACGCGGTCATCACGATTAAAATTTTTAACGCTCTCGATCCATCTGGAGCGCAGAATGAACAAAATTAGGACAAACTGCCGAAATGCGTTGACAGAGATATTTCAGGGATTTTGACTCAGGCTGTGCTCCAGATGGGTTAATTGTTAATCGCGTTAGTCATGATGAAGGAGTGTTAACGCTGACAGCACTAAAAAATTAAAAGTTGCCAATTTGGGATTTCTTTGGCCTTAAACCAGGTGAAAGAGGTAAACCTAAGGATATAACCAAAGCGGTGTGCCACTTGTGCAGACGTATAGTTCGAGCAAAGTACTCAAACACGACTAACTTGCATGAGCATGCACGTGTCCACCATCCGGCTGAGTATGCTAGGCTATCAACAGCTTCTGCAGCCACATCAACAAGCACTTGGGCGCACTCTGAGGTGGGGGCATTTGCTCGCAGATGAAAGAGGGTGCTGTTAAAACAGCGCTATTATTTTTTTCTGTTGACTGCTTTTATTAGCTCCATCATTATTAGCAAACTTGCTCATGGGCAAACAAATAAATAAATCGCCCTTGTAAAACTAGTCGATATATTCGTCCAATTGCCCAACCCTAATAAGGACTACCATAATAATCCACCATAACAGTTTTTAAATTATGTTTTCTGTTCAGATTAGTTTCATTCAGACTCACTGCTTAAACATCAAAACACATTATAAAAAAGTCTTTGTACGAGCACAAGTATTGGTGTGGACTGACATACAACAGAGCCCAACAGAGAGTTAATACGTAGCGCAGGCTTAAATTAAGTGTTTTTAGTAACAGTACAGTTGTTTTCTACTTGAGTTCTTTAAATAACAAAACCTGAGGTTAGCTTAGGGAAACTAAAGAAGCCTCAGCATTAGTATTTCATTAAACATCCAGCAGATGAAGCAAATATCATTTTGTTTAAAATATTCTGAACTACGCACTGAAGAAAGCTTAAAAAACGTAAACGTTACAGGACAATAAAAAAAATGCTGTGGTTCTTGCAGACTTGCCTCCACACGGCAAATAATCTCTTACAACAAACCAAGCAGCCTTGACGTTTTCATTCTGCGTGGACTCTCATGTGTGAGTTAAGATGCGTCTTACGATTAAATCTCTTGCCGCATTTGTTGCAGTGAAAGGGTTTCTCTCCCGTGTGGAGCCTCATGTGCTCCTTAAGATGCGTCTTTTGGTTGAACCTCTGGCCGCACTCGTCGCATCCAAACGGTTTCTCTCCCGTGTGGACTCTCAAGTGAGTCTTAAGATCTGTGTTTCGGTAAAACCTTTTACCGCAGTCCTTGCAACCGAAAGGTTTCTCTCCAGTGTGGACTCTCATGTGGGTCTTAAGGTGCGTCTTTCGTTTAAACGTTTTATCACAGTCACTACATTGAAAGGGTTTCTCTCCTGTGTGCACTCGCATGTGTGCCTTAAGATGCGTCTGCTGGTTAAACCTTTGCCCACAGTCTTCGCAGGCTAGCGGTTTCTCTCCGGTGTGGACTCGCATGTGAGTTGTCAGATTTCCCTGCTGGCTGAACCTTTTACCGCACTCCTCGCAAACAAACGGCTTCTCTCCGGTGTGAATTCTCATGTGCGTCTTAAGGTGTATCTTTTGGTTGAATCTCTGTCCACAGCTACTACAGCTAAAGGGTTTCTCACCTGTGTGGACCCTCATGTGTGTCCTGAGATCTGACGTTCGGTTAAATCCTTTACCGCAATAGTCGCAGCTGAATGCCTTCCCCCCGTTGTGCATTTTCTTGTGCCTCTTAAATTCTGATTTTCGGTAAAATACTTCACTACACAACTCGCAGATAAACTGTTTCACACCTGTTGGGGCCACCACCTGGGAATCTACGTTTTGCTTTACCTCGCAGCTGTTATCAACCAAACAGCTGGAAGGAGTTTGTCCTGAATGGCATGTCAGCTGTTTCTGAAGACACTGCTTGTAGATAAACTGCTGACCCCACAAAGTGCAGCTTAAGAATTTTTTTGCTGCATTACAGTCCCCATCCATATTTAAGTCCGACTCCAGTGCCCTGCCCTCCTTCCAGCCGCCATCGCTGTCTTCGTTTTCAGGTCCAGACTCATCAGTAGTCTCAGAATAGTCTGAAGCCTTTTCATCAGCATCAGGTTTAAACTCACTTTGAAGATCCGGGTCACTGCTCGGTTCTTGTCCATCGCTCTCAGGCTCTGTATCTCTGTTGTCCTCAGCTTGGCTTTGATGAAAGGGTAAGAACTGAGGTTTTTCTTCATCATCTTCAGGTTTCACAGGAACTGCAGTGATTATGACCTTAATGATATCCGCCTCCTCCAGACCACTACTCTGCTGTTCCTCGTGGCTGGTCAAGATTTCCTCCTGTTCCTCCTTTATGTGGAGGGTCTCCGGGTTCATGCTGGTCCAGACTGGGGTTTCACTCATGAGGAACTTCTTTAATCACCGACAGCTATTAAACATCTGCAGGAAAAACAGGAACAAGTTAGGGATGTAACTGTGTCGACAGTTAAATCCAGCTGAAGAGCAGATTCTCAGCAGTAATTCAACAGGCTGAACAAAAATGTAGCATTAACCATAAAAAAGTAAAGCCAATTTTATGCAGAACACTTTTATTCCTTTTGTTTTTCTTATTTTTTAATGAATGGCCGATAGGCAAACTAAGGCTAGATTTTCTACATTACGTCTTAAGAAACGCCCCTGAATGCAATATGATGCTTATGCTTCTTTCCCTGCACATCAATTTTGAAGGCTTTTTCACTTTTCCTAACACTGATGATCAGGATAAACGGCAGCAGATTAGAATCAAGCATAACATTTGTACATTTTCTAAATCATCAAATTAATACACGCAGTTTCCTGTAACAAAGCAAGTCACAGTTTTCACTTTAGTCAGTGATTTTAGTAAAGCACAGCTTAACAAATTGCACACATAAAACATGCTGTAAAGAAAAGAATCAGTGAAAATGTGGTGATTCCAGCTGATTTAAATCAAACCTGCTTGCTCCTAGCAGTTTTAGTTTTTTTTCTATCAGCTGCAGACTCATTTGAGAGTACAGATTAAATATAAAAGCTGACTTCAAGCATAGGCTCAGTTTACGTACAAATTTAATATGAGATCAGCAAGTACAGTTTACATGGCCTGTTTTAGGATCATGCCAGTAAAACAATGAAATTGTAAAACTGTTTGCTACCAAGAGGAAAAAAACAGGCAAGAAATAAAATTGCATTTATTTCTTTAGAACCTTCTACTGTTCACGCACAGAGGTCCAAGGGATCTTCCAGGAATGATGACGCTATTTCATGGTGAATTGATTGGTCAGTAGGCAGAGATTTCATACGTGCTGATCTCTAATCTGTAGGGTTAGGGGTATGAAATACAAAATCCTACTTTGTGGTACCTGCTGCAGACCTCTGGGGAATCAGTGGGAGGGTCTAAAGATTTTCAGTAGCTTCTAAAGTCTTTGTGTTTCCCTGACGAGCATCAGTAATAAAAATAGATCCTCAACAGCAAACAATTTTATTGTTCTATGAGCATCATCTGATCTTAACCTACACTTTACTTGCTTGTACATAACCCTATGTTTGAATTCTGTTTTTATATATTATTCTTTACTCTCAAACACTAAACAGCACCAAATCTGCAGCCAGCAGAATAAAACAAATTGTTGGGAGCAGGTTATGTTCAGAGTTTCAGTTTAAAATAATGTGGAAGTGCCATGTTTTTATACCTTTATAAAAAGATGAATATTTTACACTGCTGGAAACAGAGTACAAACTAGGAATAAACTAGGCTAAATCACCAGATTAATGACTTCTGCAATATCCTTGGATATGTAATAAGTTCTGAGGTGCCATTTTTCTTCATTTGTTTGTATTTTCATATGTTTATTAATAATCGTTAAAGTACGATAATATTGGATAATACTGGATTTGCTGCAGTCTAAAAAAAACCAAACAAAATCATGATATTGGGGGGGGGGGGGGGGAATCGGCCTCAACAGGATGTCAATGTTTCTGTACTTCCGGTTCAGACAAAGAGCTGGAAACCGTCCGACTCGCCAGCTGCTCTCTTCCCCCCTGCGGCTGCGGCCTGCAATTCAGGCTCAGCTCATCTAATTCGGGCCTATATAATCCACAAAAGCGCCCAAATACTGCGTTTCATCGCGGCTTTTGTCACAGACTGAATAAAAAGAGATTTTTTACTGTAAAAATAACTTGGCTGTGTGCGCGCTGTAAACCGTCCGGGTATCCGCTTCAATCCTCGCTATTGGGTTCCGCCTTTTTCATTCGCGTTAATACTTCATTATTAACTAATAAATAGCCGAACTATGGTCTTTTGTCATTTGTGTGCCGTTTGGGATTGACAAGAGATGAGATGCTCCGTTTTTGTGTAACTCTTTTCTTCATCCACCCCCTACGATGAGCTAGCAGCTAGCCGTTTCCTCCCGGAGAGTCACTGCACGTTAAATCTGATTTTTCTTACCAGCGATCTCGTTTTTAATCGATCCCCTGGTGCTGATAGACTTCGAGGGGTTTAATTTCTGGGTTTAATTCAAAATACCGTCTCAGTGTTGCGGTATTGAAGATCCACTTCGTTTATTGTCTCCTTTTTGCTGCTCTTCTTTGGTGAACAGTGCACGGGGAGCTGACTTCAGGTGCGTTAGCACCACCTTCTGGATTGGAGTATGAACTGAAACCTTTGGCGCCGGTTAAAAGGCGTGGGATGGTATGTCACTCAGTATGACAAAAAATATCTTGAAGTAAAACTTCATTTAAAATAACGATAACCTCAAATATAAATGAGTGTAAATTTAAAACATATTAAACAATTAACAACAAAGAAAACATTCTTTCATTTTTTTAGCTGATGGCTTTGTGCCAATTTAGTGCATTTACACATTATGTGTTGACACACAGCTATTCTCAATGCATATCAGCAAGGTGGAATAGCACGTTTAGAGGCCCTATGTCACATCAGATCTTAAGTTAAAGAATAGATATCTTTCTCACAAGAGACATGTGTAATTTAGTTTAAAAGACTTGTTTCAAAAAGTTGGAAACAATCATTCAGTGCCTGTTGGGGCACAAATTTCTGGCTTTCATGCAGCCAAAATCAGCATAATTCTAATTTTATATTCCAAAAGATTTATAGAAACCGTGCTCATTATGCAGAATCATGATATTATGCATTAATTAATATTTCATTTTGAATGTTTATAGAGCTAATATATTTTGGTACTTAGAATTTTGGAGATTTTAGGATAGAAGTAACTAAAGCTTTAAGATAAATGTTACAGCGTACAAAATTTAGTGGAGAAAACAGAACAACATGGAAAAGGTGGTGCAAGACTCCTGATGAAGGTTTCTTCCTGTTAAAAGGAGTTTTTCCTTCCCACTGTCACCAGGTGTTTGCTCACAGGGGGTCATTTCATTGTTGTACTTTCTAGTTTTATTGTAGTGTCCTTACCTTAAAATAAAGCACCTCGAGGTGACTGTTGTCATCATTTGGTGCTATAGAAATAAAATTGGACTGCATATTATTAAGTCATAGGCTATTCTGTGCAATCAGACATGATACTGACTTTATACAAGGGTGCGTGGCAGCTGAAGACTGATTAATGTCTGAAAAGCTCTCAAATACTGTCTGGGTCACAGTGGAACAGTGGTTAGCAGTGTTGCCTCACAGCAAACAGCTCCTGGGTTTGAATCTGCCTGCTGTCTGGGGAGTTTGCATGTTCTCCTTGTGCTTGCATGACTTCTTCCCACAGTCCAGAGACATGCTTGCTGGGTAAACTGGCCGTGAGTGTGAATAGTCTCTCTGTGTGAGGCTTGTGATAGACTGGTGACCAGTCCAGGATAAGCTCCAGAATTCCTCATGACCCAGGATTAGAAAATGCAGTTAAGAAAACAGACCAATAAATAAATTCTCCATTTTATAATTAGTAACAGTAAATGATAATTTCTAGAACCTTCCTCTTGATCTTTGGTAGAAAAAAATTAATCAAAGCTGTAAAATAAAGTGTGACCAAACTCTCAGGTTATGACAGAAAGATTCAAACTCACTGAGATATGGATTTAATTTTTTAAAAAAATCACAATCAATCATTGCACCGTATATAAACCAGAAGTCTCCTTCCCCTCTACAGTTTGCAGAAATGCTGGAAATATTGCATTGCTTTTTCTGCACTGATTTAATAACACAGAAGGCTAATTTTTAAATACACACGTTCCCTGATGTGACCGTTTTTGGTTTGGTTACCTTCCTTCCACTTCAAAACTTGTAGTATTGTTAATAAAATACAATAAAATCCCCTTTAAGCTTGAAGACAGTACATCCATGTAGTCGAGGGCAGACCCCCCACGGTCACTTCAGAGATGGAAGCTGATGAGTCAGAGCTGAAGGAGTCTGGCAATAAAGTTCAGTTCTTACAGTAATTAACCCAAACTGCTGTTTCACATTGAAGGCACTGAAAGTCCAGTAGAGGCCACAAAGTGTAGTTAAGTGTTAAAAAAAGAAATTAAAATATGTTTAAAATGAGAATAAATTACGTCCCTTAAACTAAATACTTAATTTGTTTGTGAGCTTTAAAGTCACAGTCAGTGAATTATTTCCCTTTTCATTCCACAGTAAACTCACAGAAAAAAGAAAACTCATAAAAATGGCCCGTGGTCACTGCCAGCAGTGCTCTGGCCGCAGGGGATGGGATATTTTAAGCACGTTGCCAACTCGAGAGTGGTCTCGCTGTGTCAAACAATAATGACTTGAGCTTTGCCAGAGACCGATCGTATGATACGATCTAAAGTTCTCAGAGTAAACAACTGTTTGGTGGTTTGCTGGTTTAAAAATAAATACATAACAAGACAGAAGGGACAATTTCCAGTTCAGCTTGTAGCAGCAGCAGAAAGGTTCACAGGAAAGCCAAATATTACCATAAATCACCACAGATTGTCTGCAGAGATAATGAAATAATTTTAAAACAATCAAACTTTTACAATAGCAAATCAGTTCCCTCTTTAACTAGACAAGAATCTGTGCCCATCTATTCAAAGAGAGGAAATAACACTTTAAAAAAAAAATAGCATATCTGGAGTGTTTCAACTCCAACTAAAGCTGATAAATTCTGCAGATTCCCAGATTTACAGTCATGATTTTGAACTCTACCAGAGTAGCACAGTTCAAAGTAAATCTTACACTGGTGCAGCCCCTCAGTTTATTCTCTGTTTGAAATGAACCACGTTAGCTTCCTTCGAGCCACCTTTCTTCTTATTGGTTGCCCCTCATAAACAGATGGTTTAACCAGCAGGTAAGTGAAACACTGGAAGAGCCCGTGTATGACAGAAGATGAGGAGGAGCAGGAGGAGAAGAGCTCCCCTTTGAGGTTGTTGAAAGCATCTTAACAGTCTGACAGTATCTTAGAGATTGTGACTCACAGCTTACACCGTTTGGATTTACCGTCACAGGATTGTGTGGTCCAGACCAGCAGGCCCCTTAATCCAAAAATCGTTTCTTTCTTTTAAATTAACATAAGATCCATTTTCCTACCAGTCACCAGAATAATGCTTCCCAGCACAGAAAGATTCCTTTAAAAAGAGGCAAAACAAATAATAGACCCATAACTGTGACCTCTCTGCTGAACAATAACAGCAGCTGTCTTTTAGAAATCAAATTTATCATCATTTCCTTCATGAAAATAAATCTGCTGGTTTTGCGTTTATTTCAGAAAGTTGTGAAGTGTCATTTTGAGACGGGCACAGTCCCACGTTTCTGCACATCCCGTCTCCCTGTGACTATGCTGGTGAGCCGCGTGCAGATGGAGTGATGAAATTTCTCATCATCCTCGTTTAGTTGCGCATGTAGAGCCGTACGAGGCCGGCCTTGTGCAGCTGCTGCCACAGATTCATCTCCATACGCAGGTCGTGGTTGGCGAAGAAGCCAACAGGGTGATAGTTTTTGTCGTAATAGTGGTCTGAGTATTTCTTGTAGTCTGGGGTCATGAAGCCGTACGCACTTACCTATAATCAAAAGACAGACAGATTAGGAATCTGGTGACACGTAAACTGCAAAATGCCAGTTTTAGTTCAATTTGACCCACTTGGCTCATTTTCATTTCCTCAGGCTGGAAAACAGGTTTAACATGTGCAATTAACCGGATACGGAATCTGGACACGATGTATAAGGCTCGCTGCCACCACAGTAAAGATCAAAAGCATAACTCTGTGGAGGCTTTTTGACACACAGCAATTTAACAGAAATGCAGCACATGCTTCTGCAGCTCAGCTGCTCAAAGTCAAAACATTCTCACGCTATCGGGCAAGTACGGCCTTGTCTCCTGATAAGTAAACAACAGACTGCTGGAAATGTACCTGATCGCAGGTGTGCAGCGCCGCCAGCAGCATCGTGGCACCGGTTGATGGACGGTAGATGTCTTTGAATCTGGTTTTCAGAGTGCTGGATCTGAGGAATCTGAAACAAAAAGATCACAAAACATGAATAACCTGCGCTGTGAGCCTTTCAGGAACTGAAGCTTGAAGTTTCTCACACACACACACACACACACACACACATTCACACGGTGACCTCTGTGGCCCAGTGTGGCTGCGTGGGGATCTTCCCTCAGCAGCTCTCTCTGGTTTCAGTCGCTGCTTCTCCTTTAATCCCACTTACAGCTTTTGAAACACGAGCTCTGCTTTCACGAGTGAGAATTTGCTCACCTGTTTCTGAGGTAACGGATGAAATCAGGATGGTACATCTTCAACTTCTCTGCTGACACGTCCTCACCAAAGTACTTCACTGGACTGAAGGAAATACGGCATTACTATAAAAACACCACAACTGCTGGAGAGCACGAGTATTAACATTCAAAGAACTGATCACTGATGAGCAGTGACGCTTCTGACATATTTGATCTTGTGACATTGTAAACAAATACAGACTAGTCAGGTTTAATCTGCTGGATTGTCTGCAGGAAATATCATCTGCTTCATCTCAGCAATCATATTTCCAAAAAGTAAGACTCCGTTTTTGCACCTCTGCACAAACATAGCTGGCTGTGCAAGTCTTGAGTTGCAGACATACAGGCAAAAAACAAGTTTGTACAATTTAAATGAGCTTGAAAGTCAATATTTGTTATGACCACACTTATTCTTCAACACAGTCTGAGCTCTGCGATTCAGCTTTCTTTCTTTCAGTAGTCTTTAGAAATACTTCTCCAGGCTTCTTGACGGACATTCAAAGCTCTTCTTTGGATGTTTTCTGCCTTTTGCTCTGCTCTCTGGTGAGATGACTGTTCCTCTGAACAAGGTCAGGTACAACAATTGGACTGAAAATGAGTGAAAAAGCAGCTTGTGTCCTAAGAAAATCTTTGATAAAACCTCATAAAGTGTGGAGAACTCCTGCTAGTGGTAGTGGACCAACCCTGAGGACGCTTCCACTCCTTGGGCCTTGATGCTGATAATAATCAAATTAAAAACGGGTAACGCAGAAGAAAACAGGACTGAAGCTGCAGTCTGTAAAGTGTCGCTTACTTTTTGCCCTTCTCACGCCCCCTGTCCACCAGGGTGTGCGTCGCCGCCGCTTTCATCAGCAGGTAATCTCGGTCGTGATCCGGCAGGAAAATGTACCGCGTTTCCTGTTTGAGAGGAGGGAGCAGCCGAGCATGACAAGACCGTTTTAACGTCGTCACTTAATAAAGACAGATGTTTATTTCCGTCCTCACCTTAGACACGGGGGGTCGTCTGTACCCGACACCTGCGTAGCTCAACATGGAATTAATCAGCGTGTTTGTGGAGAACGTGTAGTGGGTGGTCCGAGACCCTACGTCCTCCTCAAAGCCCTTAATGATTGCCCCATTGGTCCTGAAGACCACAACAATCCAGAGACACATAATAAATAGAATCAGCATTATTTTTCTTATATTTTCATTATTAATGAAAGGAAGCAGGAAGGAAGGCATCAGGACCGACCTGAAGACATAGTGATGGCTGTCGATCTCCTTCCCTTTCTGGGAGTTCTTCAGTATCCCTCCATTCCCCACCACTGCACAGCGACTGCACGCCGACTTATTGCCAGGAGCCTTCCAGTTGTCCAACATCTGCCAGTTAGCAGGTGAGTTGAGGACAGAGAGTGTTTCCACCAGTGCTGTTGGCACAAAAGAACTGATTAAATCTAAGATTTGTTTAATATAGGCGTCATGGTGGCACGGTGGTTAGCACTGTTGCTGCACAGCAAGAAGGTCCTGAGTTCAATTCCAACATCAGGCCGGGGTCTTTCTGTGTGGAGTTTGCATGTTCTCCCCGTGTTTGCGTGGGTTCCCTCCGGGTACTCCGGCTTCCTCCCACAGTTTGTGGGGATAGGTTAATTGATTAATCCAAATTGCTACTAGGTGTGAATGTGAGCACGAATGGTTGTCTGTCCCGGTGTGTTGGCCCTGTGACAGACTGGCGACCTGTCCAGGGTACACCCTGGACAGGTCGCCCTATGACAGCTGGGATAGGCTCCAGCGCCCCCCGCGACCCTGAAAAGGATAAGCGGAAGCGGATGGATGGATGGATGGATTGTCCTGAAAGAACAGGGAAAAAAAATCCCAGAGGCTCCATGTGGGCACACAGACAGGAAGCTGCTTTTATCTCTATGATAAACGTCTGTGCTGTGATGAGACCAGCATGTCCTCAATGAAATTATCCAGAAGTACTTGTAGTCCTACATCTGGCTCTTATAAGACAGAGTTGGAGGAGGATATTTTCCTGCCAGAGAGTTATTGTGGATTATTCAGCCTGAACAATTGTTTAATGTATTGATGTACATTTACTGTAAATTTATGGTGTATTACTGTATTTACATTTTCAGTTTTGTGGGTTTTTTGTCTGTTTTATATAATAAATAACTCTAAGACACTCCTTTTTCAAAATAAAATGTAAATACTTTTATTTTCAGGACCATGTCAATGTATGTTTAAATAAAACAAACAAACAAACAAACAAACAAACAAACAAAAAAGCCAGGACACATACGCACCTCATCTTGAACTGGGGCAAATCCAGCTTTATATTAAAAAATAATAATACAATTAGTTGAATTTTGACCAATTTTCCTTGTTTTCCCATTATGTGCTGTTAGAACGGTGGATGTTACAAAGCTACAAATGATGATGTCAGTCTAAGTATGAGGCAAAAGCTCAGGTTTGATCTAAGCAGTCGGATCCTGACAGTTTTATTAAAATTCTTTGATGTCACAGTGTGGATGTGTTTATATGGAACTGGGTGGGTGGTGTGTGGGTGCACCAAGGCCCAGCATAAGATAAACAAGATTATTTTGAATCATGGACTCATGCAAAGCTGCTTTAATAAAGCCTAAGAATAAAAATCTGAACACGGAGGTGAGGAAAAAAAAAAAAAAAAAAAAAAAAAGACTGATTTGGTTGGGTAGAGAAAAATTGCAGAGTTGTGATGGCTGCATTCCATCATGAACGTTAAACTAAAACTAAAATAAAATAAGTTTCACAAGAAACTGGAGAGTTCAAAAGGAGCAATCAATGAAATGAAGAAATGAAAGGAAAATTTTTTAGATAAAATCAAAATCTCACTGTCGTAATCGATCCCTCCCCAGCCATGTGCTCCAGGATAATGGCTCAGACGCCGGTGCTGTTCGGGTGTCACGTGTTTGGCCCACTGCAAAACTGGAATACTTTCCAGAAATCGTTCTCCAAATTCAGTTTTCCCCACCCGACTTCGGATGCTGTCTGGACAGCCCTGTGTGGAGCAGACACCAACATAACTTATCAGACCTCATGCAGACGCTCCTACCTCCAGACCTAAATGCAGTTACTGCACGTCCCTCACAATCATTACGAAGCCAACATCATTACTTTCACTCAGCAGGAAGTTCACCCTCAATATTGACCTCCTAATAAGAGTCTCACTGGGCGCAATTGCCTGGTAATTGCAGAGCGGAGAGAGAACAGGGCTAACGACAGGACAGATGCTGGAGGTTTCATCCAGCATGAGGCATGAAGTAACACACAGAGGCAGACATTGCTGATGGAAAAAAAAAAAAAAAACCTTACAAGTATATACACATGTAGACAAGGAAGTAGATGTTAGTGGAGGAGAAATATTCTGTTTGAGTGAAATACAAGAGTGGAAATAACAGATAAGAAAATACATGCAGATGTTATCAGAGAAGGGTGCTCAAAGAAAATCTACCCACTGAAAGTGAGCGGATGATAGTCCGGGAAACTAAGAGCTTTAAAAGTGCCTCATACTGCACGCTGCAGCCAATCATGCACAGTCACATCGCTCTTTATTTATATACTTTAAATACTTCAACACACATGCTCGTGCGCACAAGCTTTTCACTCTTTGTTCAGTAACTTGCTGATCTAACCGATCTGCGCTTTTAGTGGATGATAAAGGTGTATCGCCTGAGCAACAGACGCCTGCTTTCTTATCTATTCAGGCATCTTAATAAACTTGACTCACTACATATATCAGCTTGGCTGCTGGGTAACCCTCAAGCAACAGACGCTATTTTAGAGGCCAAAATGACAGCGTAGGGTCGTCTATACAGCTACAGATATCTATATCACAATAACAGTAGCCTCAAAGGAAAAATGAAGCAACCCGAGTCGGATCGAAAGCATTAATTTCAACCGATAAAAACCAAAGAAAAAAAATAAAACATTCAACACCAAAATGCTCTGTTAATAAGAAAACATGACTGAATAAGTTTCGCAATTTAAGAAAGGCAGTGATGATCTAAGTTCTCTGGAACATGGCAGTAAACTGTACCAGAAACAACAGCTACATGCTAATAACTAATAATAATAATAATAATAATAAGTCTGTGAAGGTTCTCAGTCATCCAGGTCATCGTAGTCAAAGGATAATAATAATAATAATAATAATAATAATAATAATAGATTGCATTTATATAGCGCTTTTCTAGGCACCCAAAGCGCTTTACAATGCCACTATTCATTCACTCTCACATTCACACACTGGTGGAGGCAGCTACAGTTGTAGCCACAGCTGCCGTGGGGCAGACTGACAGAAGCGAGGCTGCCATCGGCCCCATCAGTAGGCGGTAGGTGAAGTGTCTTGCCCAGGACAGAGAGAGCAGAGAGAGCTGGGGGATCGAACCGGCAACCTTCCAGTTACAGATGAGCTTCCCAACCCCCTGAACCACAGTCACATCCTAGTGCATCAGTAGCACTACCACTAGTAGCATGGTAGTGCTACCACCAGAGCTCTTTATGTCAGGCACACCTCCTGTGCTGTAACATTTTTAAGTTAAAGCCAATAATATCCAACCTTTACCTCTAAAATGAATGCAGTGGCATAAAAATAAAGAAATGCATCAACTAGTTTATCTTGATCGCGTCTTCTCTCCTTGGCTGTCTCTGCAGTCCGTTTATGTTAGTCATGTTATTTATGGCCTGAAACTTGCTGTTCAGTATTTAGATTCTCAACAATAACAGCAGCTTTGTTTTGTATTCTTGCTTCTGGTATAAGTGGCTCCTTTGTTTCATTTTTCCTCTGGGGTAGTACACCATGGTTTTAATCTTTCTTGTTCCGTCTTTGTTAAATTTATCATTAACTACAATGTCTGCACAGATCATCATTTATGGTATATGGCCTGTATTTGTATAGCGCTTTACTTAGTCCCCAAGGACCCCAAAGCGCTTTACACATTCAGTCATCCACCCACTGGTGATGGCAGCTACATTGTAGCCACAGCTGCCCTGGGGCGCACTGACAGAGGCGATTTATGATATGGCCTCATCATTAAAGTCTTACAAAAATATGCAATGTCATCCATAACAGTCAGAGTTGATAATTAATCTGTTTTACACTCCTCCATCCTCATGACACCATGAGTCTGTGCTCATAGTGAGGAAATGTGGAAGTCAGGCTCCATAAAAACAAACAAACAAAGAAAAAACAAAACAAACAAAAACACATGAAACATATTTCTACTAAACATTTACTGGAAAAAACAGATCCACCCAGTAACCATGGCAGCCGCCCTATGACATCTCAGCCCCGAATAAAAGCAGATGTGTGACAGTGCTGCAGGGATGATAAACCAAGTCATGTGATGGGCACCGCTGGTTTACTGGGTTCAAATTACAACTTTTATTACCCGCTGGCTTTTTTCTCACCACTTCAGTCAGTCACCATAACGATGATGTTTACCTTTATTATTTGTGTGGATTTGTGAATATGAAGGTCTGATATATTGTCTGTTGCCAAGGAGCTTAATTGCTGTTTATTTAAAACATGAATGAGCCACAGTATCAGAATACTTTATTAATCCCAAAGGAAATCATGGTTCGTGTTGTTTTTGGATCGATCCCCAGCTCGAACTGTCTACGTGACAAAATATCCTTGAGCCAGATCGTGAGTCTTGAGCTTCACCTTGCACATCCACAGATAAAAGTGCTGTAGAAGTGGGTGAAAGTGCTTCGAGTGTTAAGCTGAGTAGGAAGTACCAGCACGTTTACCATTCACTGGAAACAACATGACACTCATTTGGTAGAGTACGCGCTTCTATTTGTGGCCAAATTGCATACTGTCCATGTCAACTGAACATGAGAAAATATTTTTGTGTATCAGTGCATGCGGTTTCACTTCCTGTCATTCTGAGGTCTTTGATTGTGCTGTTCTGCATGTTGTCCTGTTCTTTTGAGTGTTTTTGCAGGGCTACATGCAGGACCCACGCAAACATTACATCCTGTACAACAGCACAGTAAGGAGAGAAGAAGCACAACAAGAAGCAAATGTAGAGGAAGTTGTACAAATCGAGACATCCACACAGTCGTCTCGATTTGTCACATTACAGTCAGAGGACAAACTGCACAGACATATATGTCACATGTCACAGGGAAAACAGCCTGTAAAATATAGACAGATTAGATTTCAGATTCCTGGATTAAAAACAGCAAACATTTCTTTGACAGCTGCTGAAATCAGATAAACGTTTTGCTCTCAGGGGGTTTCATTTTCAGCAGCAGATGAAATCAAAGCCAGCAGACTAAGCACAGTTAAGGAGAACTCACCGTCTGCGGAGGGACGTCTTCGCTCATGTACGAGTCTCCTATGAAGGGAGGGTCCGTAGGTTTGGCTGGCCGAGCAGGCTTCACTGTAGGCCGTTTGGTATCGATCCTGGTTTTATTATTGGCATCATCAGATCTGGACTTGGATGTCTCCTTATCCAGGTCTTGCTTTTGCACTTTGTGATGCTTTAGGAACAAATTCCCTACATCCCTGTCTGGATGCGAGCTGGGCACTGGGGGCAGGAAGGTCAAGTGGGCATTGTTGCTCGGCCCGTTGAGAGGCTCCTCGGATGAGATGCTGCGGGAGACAGAAGAGTTACCGACACATATGTAACACATACCAAGCAAGAGTCAAAGGACAGCTCCACATTATTTTCAACTTCCAACTAATGTGCCTATTGTGGCTTAAGAGAGCGCAGCCCAGAGTAAAATATGAAAATCAAAAATTCAAATACATGAGCTATGAAATTAAAGGGTTTGAGGGTCATCTTATGATACGAGCTGCTTCTATGTGTGCATTATAAACAGTTTTCTTTGAAAATGTCATGAGCATAGATAAAGGGAAATAGTTCGTGCATGAGCATGTGTTTTTCCATTTAATGCACAAAACGGGAAGTCGCATGTTCGAGTGCTTGGAAGGATTTTTTTTTTTTCATATTTAAGATAATCCTGGAAGTGAAATCAAAGCAAAAACGCCCACATCAACAAAAACAACTAAAATAATCCACACAATAAAAAGTTGACGCCTACATGAGGACAAAGTCCCAGCTTTTGTTGTTCATGTCTTTTCAGAGCATTTGTGCTTTCCTCACTCGGTTGGTGAAGGTTTCCCCACACTCAAATGTTTCTTTTACGTGTCATGTTTCAAAAGAGAACTAATCCAAAGTGTGTGCTGTTGTAAAGCAGAGGAAGGCAGAAAGAGATCACACTTAGGCAGGTGGAAAGAGCCAACAGAGATTTCAATAATAAAAAATGATATTTTTACTCTGTTGTACTCTTGATCAATATTGTTTTTGGCAAGTAACTGGTAACATAAGGAGAAACAACAAACCAAAGTCATGAGATGTAAAAGTCTCATTGATCACCGTAAAATCCTGTGTGCTACAGTGTGACATTGCGATAACTGTGGTATAATTATTTCATGAGCCTGGTGGTTGCTCTGTGTTTTACACGTTTCTGTTAAAGAAAACATCCTCTCATATATCAATACTTTGTTTTCTCCGAGCATCAAGCATTAGCTGATTATTTGAACTATCGGGAAGCCTCTGGACGTCTTTATAAAGTGTTTCAGAGTCAAAGCTCAGATCCTGACATACTCAGTTGGTGAATCTCGTACAGGGCGATCCGGTTACTCCATTTTAGTCCAATTTTCCCAGCTGAGCTTGCAAGCTGCTTGGCAACCACCTCCTCCACCCCTGCGCCTCACTAACTGCCACATTACAGTCAGAGGACAAACTGCAAACTCCTCCAACAGAATAAAGTTAATAAAAGACTGGGAGAGTTCCACCAGGATAGGTTGGCTTAACTCATCGTTCTAATCAATTGTGTTTACACAGTGTGCACAGACACCACAGCTGCTGGGGTATTGTTTGGACTCAGTACATATTTAATTTGATCTTTTATGCTTTCCTGTTCCGTGCCGGTGTCACCGAGCCACACTGCCAAATATAAACGACTGCATTTGGAAGGAGCAGTCATCTTTTGACTTCAAAATAGACAAAAAAAAAAAAAAAAAGACTGTAAAGCAGTCGTCACTCATCACAGGGAGTCTCAAAGGTGGGAATTGGGGCCTTTTACGTCTCTGTGCACAGGGCCCCTTTGTGCATCTTATGGGGATTTCAGTTTTCTGCTCTTTGACCATTTCACGTTTCTACATGAGGCTTTAACACCAATGGCTGTAAAATATCTTTTGCTTCAGCGTCTAAATTCATGATCTTAACCTCCAGTTCCAGACTAAAGCAGCTGCAGGCGAGTGAAGAGGACATTCACATTATGATTCTTACAAAAGGCGTTCAGATTTTTTTTTTTTAAATCAGAGCCCTCTGAGCTCAAAAAGCCCACACTCACTCCCGAGTGTCTCAAACAGCCCCCTTAGAAAGTAGCCATCTTTTTTCCACCCCCTCGATTTAATGCATTTAATGTGGACCCGTCGGCTTTTTAAACCTGGACCGCTGCCCGTCGCTACAAAGCTTACATTTCACATACGTGTGTGAGAGAGACCACCTCCAGTGAAATAACTCCAGGGGATTTTTTTCATTAGTGTGGCCGGAGTGCTGTGTGGCTCCTTTGTTGAAACCACAATGATACAAGTGGAAGGGAGGGGGATAAGTGCCGGTTACAGAAAACCCCTCGTACCACTTATGATCTCAGAGTTTAACCCTTCACACCAGTTTCACTGCCTCGTCTGATACAGCTCTGCATGTGGACTGTTGTCTGAACCTGACAGTGTTCAGGGAGGGAAAGCCGCCTTTTCTTCAGTTTTTCCCCTTTTACAAGGAGGTCACTGTACCAAATTCTTAGGCAGTGTCAATTTCAGGATGGAAAATGCAAGAGCAGCTGAGGCTTAAAAATATTGTTTAGCTGGAAAACACGATCCAGACGACTGATTCAAGAGGTATGTAGCACCATATTTTCAGTGCACAATATGGATAAATACCTGATTTTCACATAAAGGTGAATTAACTGGTCATGTTTAGTTTATTTTCAGGTGTTAAAGTCCCCTTTTGTCCAATCGTGTGCATGTCCGGGGGAGCTGAGAGTGGATAAGGCAATCCTGTTTAATAACTCACTCGCGTCATCACCAGAGTTTCCTGTTTCTAACAAAAGGATTAAATAGCTGAAATGAAACTGAAGCTTTATGCTTCTTCAAAAAGATAAAAATCCATAAATTTAGTTCAGATTGGAAAGCATCAGTTTTTATTTCCACACATCCAGTTTTGACCGGGAAAAGAACGTCGTCATGCACACAAAATATTTTTAAAGATAAACTTTAAAACATCATTAGCAGCAACAACATCTGTAACTCTAAAGACTTGCATTTAAAGAAAAAAGATCATACGATATTTGAATGGGGCAGATGTTGTAGGAATCACTGTTGTAATGCTCCTCGTGCCTGTAGTAACACCAGTGTATCAAAACACTGGGACATGGGAGTAAACCTGGGATATGTCTGTGCTTGCTGCTTAATGTTTAACTTCTTAATACCCTTCTTGGACCTTGAATGAGAAGCTTTTTCTCTAACAATACAGACATGTCTCAGTCTCTAGATTTCTATTTTTATTCTTCTTAATGCAAATATTAAAAAGACAAGTTTTTCAGGGCTTCCACATACCCAGGATATCCAGTGACAAACATCCTGGCATCCACTGACCCTTGTTTAAGAGTGACGAAGAATTTGTAAAACTAATAAACAGCAATAAAAATTTGTTTTTAGAGTTATTACTTTGAGATTATATGAGTATTATAAATGTCTTCTTGCACTTTTTTATGGCCTTTTTGCTGTGAGTGTTTCTCCTGTTGTTAACAGTAGTTTTGTGACAACAGTTTGATAAGGGCCACGCCCAGAAGAAGCTCAAAGACCCTGATGAAGTCCAAAGGTTGGTTCCTTTCTGCTACTCGTACTCAGCAGCATTAAATGTGTTACATATTTAACTGCCCTGCAAGCATTTCTGATGCGTCCTCATAACAGTTGGTGTACTTAAGATTTTATCACTGGTCATCATGGTCATCATGTGCATCACTTTATGGCTGTGTTCTCTGAATGGTTTACAGATGCAGGGGGAAAGTGTGGTTCTTAAAATGTGCTGCACCTTTACCCTGGAATAAAGTACGAGGGGATCTGAAACTGAGCCCAACTCTTTGTTAATGTTTTTTGCTTTTAAATGTCTTGGATATTTTTTGAGAATTCAGGGCCGGTGATGTAAACGAAAGCCTTGGTTAAGTCCAGTCAGAACATCGTGACGTGTAATGCGGCGAGGCTTCTCGGCTTTCTGGGTTGCTTTTAATTCTTCAGCATCATCATGACTGAACGAACGCACATATTGTCATGATTTTATCTCACGTCCTTTCTTGCGCCCGCATGGTTCGAGACATGAGAATCAGGTTTAACGAATTAAGGATTCAGTCCAATATCAGGCTGCTTTCATAGCTTTTATTTGGGAGAATAAACCTGCTTGAATATGCGAGCATTGCCTTCGGTTTCTGTACTTTAACTGCTCACATGTGTCAAATTTCCATCACGTACATCCCAAACATGTCATCGGTCCCCCATTTCCCTTCTGAGAGCATCGAACGTGTTTGGATGTCATGCTTTAAATCTCCATACTGACCAAAATAACTCCGTTTTTAACCATAACTGAGCAGACCAATATTTATACTCATTCATATCTTGGAGTTTATATAAACTCATTGGTGTCTTTCTTCATCAGAGGTATTGTTGCCTTGCCGATTGTAGCATTTTCTTTTAGAGAAAGTGTCAGGTGCACATGTTATAAATATTGTGTTGCCTTCCTGAAATCCACACCTGGCAGTTAGTTCCTTGTTCAAGTCATCAGGTGACACTCAGTAACTTTTCCCTCTCAGGCCTGAGCTGCAACTTTTAGTTTTGTCCCCTCTTTATTCTGATCTTAAGCAGGTGAAACACGATAAGCTGGATCTAACTGTACTCCTGTGTGCCCCCAAAAGTGTAAAGATGATGCACAAAAATGTCTACAAGTCAAAGAAGATTCATATCCATCTTATCATATCTGAGATTCAAAGTAAAAGTCTGAACTCACCCGCTCGCCCTCTGTATGAAGTCGTAGAGAGGCACCAGAGGCCTCTCCAGGGTCAAAGCCAGAATGTAGACAATAAGGACGCACGAGACCGTGAGCATGGCAAAAAGCAGCCTCCTGTGCAGCCCCATCCCAATCATGGTGCTTGTGACTCTGGCCGGCAGGCTGCGTCTCCTCGCCCTGCCCTCCACTCAGCTCCCAGGAACATGAGGAGCAAGAGGATGTGAACGCTGTGCCACTCTACAGGGCAGCTACGAGTGTCGACGGCGGGGGATTTACCCACGACAGGATCTGGGCTCTCCTCTGAGCTTCTCTCAACACAGCTACAGCGAGAGGCAGACAGAAAGAGAGAGTTGGAACGAGGGTAAAGACTCAGGAGGGGAAACTTTATCTTTCAGCGTCAGAGTGCCAAATAATCCCTTTTTAATGAAGTCTTTGCCTTCATGCCCCTGAACACAAAGCTCAGGGTCACAATCTTCATCTCCTTTTACATCCTGCTCTTGCTTATCTACTTTCTGCTCTTACAGTCTTCTTACAGACGAGAGAGGAAACAGAGGAAACACTACAGCTTCACACATTAAAAATATGCTGAGCAAAGTTTAAAAGGAAAAATAAAGAGGCTGGGAGTGGAAGGGATGACGATAGCTTCAGCTGAAAAATACAGGAAGCCAGAAATGTTATCTTACAGGAAACTGACGTCTTTAGTGCTTTAGTCAACTCAACATGTTTCTCCAACTCTTAGAAGAAGTTGCATTAGCACCGAGCGGTGAGCTGCATCCCTCTGTAATAAACTCAGTCTGCGCACTAAACGTCTCTCAAGTCCAGAAACTGATAAATACGTCCACTGGTGTGTGTGTGTGTGTGTGTGTGTGTGTGTGTGTGTGTGTGTGTGTGTGTGTGTGTGTGTGTGTGTGTGTGAGAGTGAGAGAGACAGAGGTTCCTAGGCATGTGGGAGTGCTGGCTGAGTCTCTAAATGGGGAATGGAAAGAATGTGATAAACTCCAGCATCTCTGATAGCAGTTATAACAGAGCGAATGAGCACTTCCACACCCCAGAAACTGGAGGTTTTACACAGTAAAACATCGCAAAAGTCATCCAGTAATTCATAACATGTCTGACAGAGACTTAGAGCAAAATATCAAAGAGGAAACAAAAAGCATCAGCCTGTGACAAATCATGACTCAATCTGCCTTCCTTTAATGAGAGGACTCTGAGAAACAGAAACCTCTTCAAAAAACCTCTGAATGCTTTTGAGAAATGAAGAACATGAAGCTTCACTCACCAGCAGCTGAGCTCCTGTTTCCTTTGCTCTAAGTATTTCCTTTCTGCTGCTCACAGTGGAGACATATTCCTCTAACTTAGCTCTCTATTGCTCATCTACTGTGAAGCGGTTGTGCTGCCTGCCTTGCACTGTATGGGCGGGACCATTGTGAAATGAGCAACAGCTGCTGGCAATTGGTCAACCCCCTGAACTCCAGAGCACGAGAGGAGGGGAGGGAACCCACTGCAGGCAGCGATAAAGTTAGTGAGACATGAGCAGGCAGCTCAGAAACACTCAGAGGAAAACAGATCAGCTTGTCTACACTGACAAAAGCCCTGATGCACGAGCTCTCATGCAGCGTGTCTTAACATTTGATTCCTGTGGTTGGCATGGTGCAGAATGTGGTGTCCAACATGTGTCACGAGTTTTGTGTGTGTGTTACATGTACCTGCACAGAAGTGAGAAAAGCCCCATTTGAGTCACATGTATTTCTCTGCTTGGATCTCTTGCAGTGAAGAAAATCTCACGAGGCTCCTCATCCACGTTTATTTAGGATATTTGAAGTGCAACCATAATGAATCCGACTGCCTGACACAGCCTGTGTGACTTTGTTGCTCGTTTGTGGTTCAACTTACTCCAGTTCCTCTGACCTCTCCATCTTCATGTTGAGTTTATCTTCGTGGAGTTACTTCCTGTCACTTCCTTTCTCATGTCATCTGTCTTGTTTCCTGGTCTGCTCTTGTCTGTTTTTTTTTAACCTTGCTTTGTCTGTTTTTTCCTTTTTCTCCAGTATCTTCTTGTTTTCCTAGTTTTGTACCTTTCGTGAATCAGTTTTTTTTAAAATAAAGCTCGCTTTTTGTTTTGCACTCTACAACCCAAATCGACTCTCACAAGCACTCGGGCATGGATGTGAGTTAGTATATATCAGTTGTATTTTGGATTACCTTTTTTCTTTTTTACTCAGAAGCATTATTTTAAAGCTCTAGTTACTAGAATACTAATATCTGATGGTTTATTATTATAGATAAAGCTATCAAGGATTATATAATGTCATGGGCTGGGTCTGTCACCCAGCATTTTGAGTTCATGATATATTGTGTATTTCTTTTGTTAGTTTGGGGAAATGTTAGGTTCTTGTTTTGTATTATTAGTTAGAACTTGAGGCTTCATGTTTTGTCATTTATCGTTTGGGTTAAGCTCATCTAGCTCCTGTAAAACCCCCGAGTGGCTCAGCCTTATAGTTTTGTTATTGATCCCTGCATTTCCCCTTTTCCGTGGGCTTTGGTCTCACCTGCCATTTGTTTCATGTCTCATGTGTGAAGCCCATGTTGTTTGGTCTGCCTCATCATGTTTCCTGTGTTATGTTGTAAGAGTCCAGTATGTTCTTTGTTCATTGTATTTAGGTTCCCTTCCCCTGCCTTGTTATTAGGTTCATGTGTGTCAGTGGTGTTCCCGTGTGTTAATGTTCCCATTGTTGTTTATTGTGTCATGTTTCTGTCTTGTCATGTTTTTCTGTTTATTTTGAAAGTCCAGTTTTCATGTCATTGTTTGAGTTTACATTTCCTGTGCATCGTTATGTTCATCCTTGTCAGCTGTTTCCTCGTGTGTCTCGACTTCCCCTGATCACCTCATGTGTGTATTTAAGTCCTCTGTTTTCTATGTTTCGTTGTCAGGTCGTCTGTTTGCGTCTCCATAGTGTTTTGTCATAGTTTACTCGGTGTTCATAGTTTGTCGTAGTATTTTCACTGAGTTTCTTAGTCCTTTAGTTTTCCGAGTGTTCACAGTTTTCTTAGTTTTCATAGCTTCATGCTTTTTCATGTGCCAACATCCAAATAAAGGATCGTCTTCTGTTCAGCCAGCAACTCCGCCTTTCAGTGTCTGCTTCTGGGTCCTGTAAACTAAACTTATCGGCGCACTCCGCCGGGACATATAAGTCATTAAAACCATCTAGAGAAGCCACATTTAAGTGATATGCATGTATATGGTTCTGCATGAGTACTCTTACTTTTGCTAAAAGCTAAAACGTTTGCCCTACTTAAATATGGAAAATCCCACCCACTCCCTCCTCAATCAAAATATGAGATGGGTGGAAATAAGCAAGAAGCTCCACCTTTAAGCTGACAATATGAAACTAAATACAATAAGTGAAAAAACAACTCTGCACTTTACTACACGTCATTTCAGTCAGGCCTCTGGCAGCACAGCCGCTGTGGTCTGCTGACCATCATCACCTGACACACACTTATTCTCTGAGAGGATTAATTGTTATTAGTTATTGCATAACTGTACTAATGAAATAGTGGAATATTTCTCTTCACATGTTAACAGAATCTCAGCCAGCATAAATCCGCAGGACGTCGGCTGTAATGGGACTGCAAAGGGCCTGGACTGGATTGGCTTAAACCAGGGGAAGAACAAAACTTTATCAAATGCACATCTGAAAACGCCAAGACCTTCTTTAGCGTTGCCTCAGAGTGTGGGAGGGTGAGAGCTGGGCGTATCAGTTCAGTCACTTGCACATACGTCCTTGTTTGATTCGATATCACAGCTGCAGACACTTCTGGGCAGATAATGGGCATTCCTGACCGATGACCGATAGCCTCAGTCTATTTGACTGAGGCAGGGGCTAAAATTGCTACAGCGGTTTTAAAGCAGAAACATAAGTGTAAGCGATGTGGCACTGAAAGAAAACTGTAACAATAAGGTTTTAAAGTGTTCACACTTGAGTTACATAATGCTTTGTGTTTCAGAGTACTTTCAGAGTAATTTTGTTTGTTCCCGTTTAGTTTCTGCTTAAAAATGTTTCCTTACACTTGATTTTTTTCTCCTTTCTACTTAAAATGACAGCTCTGGTGTTAGATTATTATTATTATTAGTATCAGGGTCAGAATATAAGAAGTATAGAGCAAGCATTACAATCCAAACACTTTCAGTAAACTCCTCAGTTTAAACTACAACAACTATTTTTATTTTTGTCAAAATGTAATCTTAGTTACATTTTATGTAACTAAAATTAAGCCAAGCTAAGTGAGAAACAACAGTCAACATGCTTCTCACAGTTTGAGTTGAGCTGGTTGGAGAAGTGCATGCATTGTTCCAGCTGAAACGACTGAAAAATTTCCCAGTTGGTTTTTAACGAGAGGGAATGGGAGGGGTGGTAACAGCTGGAATACTGGTCTACAGATATTTCAAGCATTAAATTCTGTAATTAAACGTTTAGAAAGCGTCAATAAATCATTTCAGGCTCCAAACCGACAGCAATTTAACCTCATTATGTGGACTCCATCGTGTCTGAGACTGAAGGCTTCTTCGTCTCCTGCTCATGAGTTATGGAGAGCGAGGGACGACGGGAGGGCGGAGGACAGAAACAAGTAAACATTTGTCTTTTTTCCCCACAGCGAGAAGAAACGAGGAACACGGCGTGTTTTCCAAACATTCTTTGCCTTTTATTCTCTTCACAGTTTTTCAAAGAATCACAATGAATAATCATAAAAAACAGACTAAAACAAAATGAACTAGTGCATTCAAGAGCTATAGATGTAATGCTGAGCAGGAGAGAGCAGGAATGCTTCGTATAATGTTGCAGTGAATGTGTGCGTGTGGGGGTCAATGCAGGTCACAATGGGGAGGAGAGGAAGCACACACAAACACATGCAAACACACAAAAGAAAGGCTCACTGGCACTTGTAGGACGGGCATGCGTGAGGAATGCCAACTCACATCGCCGCCCCTGTCGTGTCCGAGCCCAGCTGCCCCCCGCCTGCTGTGCCGACGGCCACAGTGGCGGCTTCAGCTTCGAGGCCTCCACGCTGACTCACAGTGAAACTCAGGGAGCGTGTGACACATCAACCACCCATGTGGGATTTTTTTTTTTATTATTATTATTATCTGTGCTAAGCAGAGAGGGTTAACATTGATTCAGGTTTAATGGTTAACTATGTGGCCAAACTAACCCGACTTTAAACCAGCAGGGTCCCGGTGGATTACGTTTCACACATTGGGGCCTGGACGACTTGGAGGTCAGAAAAAACCTGACATACTGTATTTAGATAGACTAAAAATGGAGCGGTTAAGGTCTCACCGTCACACTTAGTAACCGTGTAAATGTTCCTCACAGAAGGAATAAAATACAATTTCGTCTTGAGAAGGTTTGAGAAAAGCTTCCTTCACAACCTTGACCTTTCTGTGGACATATTACACCACGAAGGTCGTGTACGAGTCCTAAAATAAATAAAGCAAGATGAAAGAATAAATATTTTCTCATCTGGGGTCTAATTTTGAGACTGCCGGGGCTTTTGCAGTCACATCATGCTGTACCTAAATAACAGGCCTTACTTCCATGTTTAGAGTTTCTCTCTGCAACACCCCTCCCCTACTCAGTCTACGAACCGATAAATCCCCTCCCCCCGATGACTTTCTGTGATTTTTTTTTTTTTAACACATATTACGCATGTTTGAGTCATGGTCTGTCACAGCGCCGCCTTTGAAGCTCTGGTCACATGATTCGTGCCCCCTTAAATCCACCAAACCACCCTGCTCGGTCCCAGCTCTGCTTTCCTAACCCTATAAACATTTTCTATGCACTTTCCTCCTTTGCTTCACCCAACATCTACCTCAGTCCCTCTTCTCTCTTTTTTATCTTCCCTACATTCAGAAGCCACTCTGCAATCATCTGACCACAAGCTCTCCTCAGCTCAGTTTCCTTTAAGTTGCCTTTACGTCTCATCGCTCTAACAACATCCTACACTCTCTCTAACGTCTGAAATCTGTGTTAGTAAATTTCATCAAATCGCTTCGTTAGGTCTAAAGTTTGGTCGAAGACCCGTTAAAAACAAACCGCTCAGAGCTGGGCTGCAGTGAGAAGTGGGGGGAGGTATGGGTCCTGTAATTAGCGCTGGCCTTGAGGGGACGCTGGGACAAAAATGCATGACTCAACAGAAAAAAAAAGGCAGAAGCTCTGCGTCAGCTCTCATGCTCATGGCTGATCTCGGGCCTTGGTTGTGAGCGGCCCTCCAGACGAAAGAAGAACAACCCCCACTGTGTCCCACGTCACACCGGTGCAGGCCTGGGCTGGTCTGAGAAACATCTGGAACTGTTCGGTGAAGCACATCTGTGGGGAACATTTCTGCGCCCCAGACAGGAAGAGGAACATTCACAAAAAAAAAAGAAA